TAGAAATCTTTTCTATTTTATTAAATAAAGTTTCAACTATGGCATTTACAAAAAAAAAAAAAAAAAATTATATAATTTTTTAATTATATAATTTTTTTATATAAAATATTATTTTGTAGATAAAAAATAAGTTTAATACTATTTGTATACTTTAACTATTTATTTTTGAACTTGGATCTTCAAGAATTATCTTTATATAAGAGAAAAGTATTATTGTTTTTATATATTATTTCTTATACAATAATTACAGAAATAACATTAATTTTCTACTATATTTATTATACTTTATTTTATTTTTATTATTATAATTTATTTAAATAATATATTAGCCAGGTATTTTTACAAATCTAGCTATTTTTTGATATATAAAAATTTTAAAATTTTTGTAATTTTAAAAATTTTTAAAACTATACTACCTTTAGATAACTTTATTTATTTGTGCTAATATACAAACTTCTAAAAAGAAAATAGCTAACAAACTAAATTAAAGATCTTATTAATAAATTTAAAACTTTTAATAATAATTTCTCAATAATTATTTGATCAAATTTATTAAAATTTTTTAGTTAATTTTAGTAATTCTATAGAATCAAAAAAGTTTATAGAATTTAATTAGTAAAATACATAAAATATATTGAAAAAAAATTAAAATTAAATAAATTTTCTTTTCTTTAAACCTTTGTAAATTTTCATTTCTTTAAACTTTAAACAAGATTTATTGACAACCAACTATCCAAATTTAATAAAAATTTTTTATTTTATTTCTAGAAATTTATAAAATTAAAATAAAATTTAGATTGAATTTGAATAGCTGATAGTATATATACCAATAAAATAGGTTTTCAAAAAACTCCTATTTCATCTCTATTAGAGCAATTTAGAATTTTTTATATGTAAGAGCAAATCTAATTTAGGTAGTTAAGTTCTTTATAATTTTGTCTCTTCAAAAAAAGTATCAAAAAATTTCGTCTTATAGAGAGAGAGAGAGAGAGATAAGTAAAATAGGTCAAAAACAATTTCATCTTCAATTTTTAATTTCATACCCCAAAACCTAAAATAATTTCATCAGCATGTATAGCTGATAGTCAAAAATATTCATTAAAATTAAAATTTTTCAATTGCAGCTTCTTTTTTAAAAATATCTAAACTTTGAATAAAGATTACTTAACACTTACTTGATCAAATTTGATCTAAATATTTTATTTTAATTCTATGAGCATATATAATTAAAATAAAAAATTAATTAAATTTAACTAGATAAATAATAAGTAATCTTTGTTTAAAGTTTTAATGCTTATAAAAAAAGCTGCAATCAAATTTTTTAAAATTTAATAAATATTTCTTAACAACTAACTATTTAAATTCAATCAATTTTTTTATTTTAATTCTATGAGATTATAAAATTAAAATAAAAATAATTTCAACAAATTCAGATAGTTAGTTGTCAAGAAGTCTTTATTTAAAGTGTAAATAAAAAACTTGAAATATTTCTTATTCTTAAAATTTTTTAAAAAACTTTAAATAAAGATTTCTTGACAACCAACTAACAGAATTTGATAAGAATTTTTTATTTTAATTCTATAATCTCATATACTATAAAAAATTTTGACTGTAACTTTTTTTTTATAAGTGCCTAAACTTTGAATGAAGATTACTCAGCACTTACTGGTTAAATTCATTCAATTGTTTTATTTAATTCTATATGATCATATAATTAAAATAAAAAATTTGATCGATTTTGACCAGGTAAATGCCGAGTAATCTTCATTCAAATTCAAAGTTTAGATGTCTTTAAAAAAAGAAGCTACGTCCAAATTTTTTTTAACATTTAATGAATATTTCCGACAATCAGCTATTCAAATTCAATCTAATTTTTTTTTATTTTAATTCTATGAATCCCAGAATTAAAATAAAAAAATTTCATCAAATTCGAATAGTTGGTTGTCGAGAAATCGTAGTTTAAAGTTCAATGAAAAGAAAATTTACCCGATTGAGTTTTCCGATATTTTTTTATAACTTTAGCGATGATTTGTCGACAACTACTAAATCAAATTCTATGAACTTTTTTTCTTTTGATTTTATAGAACTATTGAATTAAAATAAAAAATTTTTACTGAATATGATCACTAGAAGTTTTAAAAAACCTTCGAATTTATTAATAGAATCTTCAATCTTGTTTATTGGCTATTTCCTTTTCAGGAGTTTGTATTACCGGCACAAATAAGTAATACCCTACCGCTACGCACAAACTTAGATCGCCATATAAGGGGTTTAAATTATTATAAATGAGATCTCCATATAAGGGTTTTAAATTATTAAGCCATATAAGGATTTTAAATTCGTATAAGGGTGGTAAAACAATTGATTTGCAAGATTTGCTTTTTTAATTTTATTCGCACACATTTTGAACTAAAAGGTCAATCGAATTTCAATGATGCTTAACGAAGCTATTTCTGCAATGACTGTATTCGTCAGGCGATTGGCGAAATTCCAGAAGATTGATTAACCAAAGAAATTTTAAAAATAAATTAACCCTCTTCAACCTGCTTTTTTATAACGATTCTTGGATATGTTGAACTTTAAAAATTTTTAAAAATCACTGTTATTTCATTATAAAATTTCCTAACTTGTGTACGTGATTAGTATAACCAGAAATATGAGGTATTGTACGTTCATTAGACTTCTCTACATGCAACTCTTCTAAATACAATACTTCTTTGAATGTAACCCTGTAAACATGCCATTTGATTTGTACACACAATTAATCGCAATTTATAAAAAAAAACAAACAATACATGCACAACGAATTTTTAATGTGACACAGAATAAGCATAATTCAATATAAACGAGTGCGTATCGTAACTTTGACATTTATTATTTTAAAAAAATGCTCAAGAGCTATAAATACTGCGCCAGTTACTTCATCCTTGGTCTCAACCTCTATTTATTTTATAGCCTTTCATACTACTCAAAATCGACAATCCCACTATCACATATAACAGATAATACCTATATCAAACCTCCTCAAGGGGTGGACCAGAACTTAACGGTCTTTATCGGGATTGTGACCTATTATGAGAATATCGAGGTTAGAGAATCCTTGCGCAAATTGTATAGACACAGTAATGACGCTCTGGCGCGGTATCTCGGTGTCAAGAAATCGCCAGTGACGATTAGGTTTATCCTGGGACTGACAACAGATGAAAATAAAGATAAGCTGGAGGAAGAGTCTAATGTATACGGGGATATTGTCATTTTAAATATCACAGAAAACATGAACGACGGAAAGACGTTTGAATATTTTAGTTGGTTTGCTAAACATGTGAGTATTCTTGACTTGTTATGAGTCTGCGCGCGTCAATAAGCATTCATTATTTTGAATACACTTAGAGGAAGGATAATTATATGCTCAAAATGGACGATGACACTTTCCTCCACCTTATTCACTACTACCGTGATATTCAAGACTTACCGAGAGAACGTGCGTACTATGGCAATGCTCTAGGATATAAATATGGAACATACACGTATATGGGAGGTGTGTTTTTATTCCCTTTTCATCAACGCTTCATGAACTTCTTTTTGATTTACTTTTCTTACATTCAAAATAAGGTGCTGGATACACACTCTCCCGCGACCTCGTTATAGATATTGCTGGATCACAATGGGCTAGTTCACATGTCTACGACGATGAGGACTGGCGAGTGGGTGAGTGGGTATGTCATGTAGCTAGGGAGAAAAAGTACTTTGTGAAATATATTGGCTTTACAAAATGGGTGTCCAGTCGCCAAAATCCCTTCCATGACTTTGACGAGGATTTGGACGTCCACTCCTTTGCCGAGTTTATCTTGGTCCATCATATAAAGGATGTTAAGATGTTGAATGCCATGATAGATATGCACTCCGAATACGAAAAGGGATTGCCAATGGTTAGAGTCATTCGGAATTCGACAGCCGAAGGCCTGATTACAAAAAAGGAGCTTCCTACAAGATGTTGGACTGCACTTGAGAAAGAACAAATGCTAAATAAAACGAAAGAACAGATGTGGAACCAAACTTTGGAGAATACCTACAAGAATTGGTTCTATGAAGCCTGGGACTTTAAAGAGGGAATATGGTATGGGCATTATGGACCTGTAGATAGCATAAGGATTACTGGATAGTATTTTTAGGATTTTTATATAGGGATTACTGGATAGAGTTTTAGAATTTTTATGTACATAATTTATTATATAGTTTAATAATTTCAAAAATGTTTCTATTTAAAATATGTAGTTTTTGCCGAAATTATGTAACTGATATTAGGCACGTAATAATAGATTGGTCAATATAGATCTCTTTCTCACATAATTTTGTTCAAAAAACTAGTAACATAGTGTGCTATACTGCTATAAGAAATCGGTAATCATATGATGTTTTCATGCATTCAAAATTTTATTGGCCAAAATTCTTTTGCGCTTATACCAATTCAATTTTTACATTGCAGTGGATACTACTTTACTGAAAGTTACAAAATTTAGTACGCGCGTACGTAAGTTTTGCGTTCTTACACTAAATCTTGATTCTACAATCCACGTAACAGTGATCTACATTCCTAACAAAGATAAAACAGCTCCCTGATTATACATGGCGTAGAAAGTATTTTGGCATAATTTCTACCTCAATTTTGGCATGCGGCATTGCCTAAATCCAAAATTCATGCCGCAATTAATGTCCAATACCGCATGCCAAAATTAATGCCGTAAATGTTAAA